CCCCCCCATTTGGTGACAGTGTGACTTGAAGCACACCTGATGTCTCAGTCCTTTTGTATGCCAACTGTGGCTGCAAAGCTGGAGGAAGGAAGCACATCCTGCAATTTTAGCACAGGGGAGAAAAAAAAAAATGTTTCAAACCAGAGAAGTACTGTGAGACAATACAGCATCGTTATGCATGGAGATGCAGGATGACACAGCTGGAATCATGCCTATGGTATCAGGTGACACTAAAGTGTTTTATCTGGAGTTGCTGTGAGGGTGGAGGGAGGCACTGATGTGACCTCTTTAGTCCCCCAGTAAATCCATTCCTAGTCTTTCAGCCTTCTTCCTTTAAATAAACTGAAAATGTCCTTCAGAGGTCCACTGTTCATCTATTTAAAATTATTTGTGAATCCTTTGCTGAATTTGGGTTTACATCAGAAGTGGGCTGAAAGAAGCAATGAGCCAGAGCTGTGAGACAGACCAAATAGAGTCTGTATAACACGTACCCCCTTAAAAATAGTTACTGTCGTCTTCTAAAAGCAGTAACAGACTATGAGTTGTAATCTTAATGTTCTTAGATTGTCAGTTTGGCTCTAAGCTACCATATAAGGCCAGTTTGTTCATGGGCTTGGAGCATTAAAAAAAATAATTGACACTAGCTGCTTTCATCTATCCCTTTCCAGTCAATGATTTTCTCTTTAACTCCTGCTAATGTTTGTCAGCAATTTTCTCATGGATCTTTTTTTTTTTTTTTTTTTTTTTTTTTTTTTTTTTTTTTTTCCTGCTAAAGAAACTCTTTAATTTCATGGGTCACAACTGGAAGAACACCTGAGACTGCCCAAGTGAGGACTCGCTCCAAGTCAGAAATGGTTTTATAGTCAGCTAAAAAACAACAAATGCACACCCCCAGAACTGCGAATTTCAACACCTCTCCTGGCAGTGCATGCAACGCAGTATAATTTTTGAATGCATAATAGTATTTCTAAAATCCAATTAGAGATCTTACTTTCAAGATATCTTATTTTCTGTTCCAAATAATCTGCAGTCTACAGTATAACTTTGTCATCCAGAAGAAAGCCTGAAATTAAGAGAAACATTATATGATCCTAGCATCTATTATGCATCTTTTTATTTGTTGAAGGCTTGCTGTAGAATCTGCTTGTTTCCAAGGAATGAAAATTGCTTATTATCCTGGATAATGAAAGAGAATGTCGTCATCTATAATTGTTAGTTTAGGATACTTACTGTACCCTTCTATTATGAACGGGTTTGCATAAAAAAAGCTTCAGTAAAAGAAGCAGCTTTTAAATATTTTCTTAAAAAAATAGGGATTTGTTTGCAAGTGAAATTTCTGTGGTTTTGACTGCAAAATGTATTGGAACAAGTTTCTTAATTGACAGATTGTAACTTGAATATGAATGCTATTTACTGAATGCAATCTGTGAATATTACAGTCTTTTTTTTTCAATGATCATAAAAGTGTGCTTCTGTATATACACCTAAGTATATAAATATATCCACCTGTCTATGTATGTCTGTGTATGTAGGTGTATTGTATATGTGCTTATGGCTTTTTTTAACACAGTTTTGCAATATCTAGGCATTTTTTCAAGTCTATTCCTTGTTTTATTTCCCCTGATTAATCTCTTGCAAGATAATCTTTACAGGGTAAGAAGGTTTGCATTAACACCCTCTGCCTGAATATGACAGCTCTGTAAACAGCAGCTGTATGGGGTCAGTCATGAGATCTAGAAATCAAAACTATATGGGCCTTAGTCACAGCTCATGAGACAAACACTATGTGCTGGAAATTGACTGCCAGACAGCCTCTATTTGATAAGTTGCACTAGACTGTATGTCACACTTTCTACAGCAGTAGTATTTGACACACACACAAAAGTGCCT